GCCCAGAACTGCTTCAGTCTGCAGCTGCTGGTTCACATGAACAGGTGTTCCTCAGGGCGTCAGCAGGTGTCAGGTATGAGGTTGACATTCTGTTTCAAATCAGTTATATTGTTAACTTTTGTAACTGGGTAACCTGTTTGCTAAAGATAAAAAATAATATCAAAGACAAAACTGTTTAATTTGGTAGGTGAAGATGTCTGTAAATCGGCAGTGACATTTAAAAAGGGTGTAAGGGGGCCACCTGAAATCTTAAAGTTCCTGCGACGTGCATATTCTTCAAATACAAAAAGTCAAAGAAAACATCTTTATATTTAAGAAAGTTGGAATAAAACACACAATTTAACTCATTTTGTCACATAACTGGCATATTTTCTTTTGAACTTGGCTCAGCCAAAATGAAACAGGAAGTGACATCAAAGGGGAACTCTTTAATAAAGAAAACTCTCTGGTCTTTGTTTATTGAAACAATGTTATTTGATGACTTTTCTTCATCTCTGATAGTGACTCAAAATAATCGTAAGAAACATCAGATTCTTACCTAATTTCCCTCTGGGATCAATAAAGTATTTTTGAATTTGAATTCTCCTCCACAGTGTTGGATGTTGTAGCGACGCTCTGTTCACATGCAGACATTCCCCTTTGACATCACTTCCTGTTACTTCACAGGCAAATATCTCAACAACTGTTCGTCTCAGCGACATGAAATTTGTTTTGCAATATTTTATCAATGTCCTCTTTCTAAAAATGCATTCATATGTGTTACAAAACTTTGACGTGACATGCACTTTAAGGSGCCACCTTGGCTCTGGCCCTGTCTGCAGAGACAACTGTTTGAACCCTGTAACTGTGTTTTTAGGTGCAAGATTTGATTTTRGCCCCTCCAACACTGATGTAAGTAAGATCTTCAGACTGGACACACACAACAACCCTCTGTAAACCAAATGTGAGTTTTCATCACAGAATGAGACTAAAGAGCAGAACCGACTGAACAGCCAACCTTTGACGTCCCATAAGCCCACAATCCCAAAGCTGTTCAGGCCAAGCTTTTGTTCCCATGACAGCAGGAGGAAGAGGAGGAGGAGGAAGGCTCGGTCTGCAGTGACATTCCTCTGATGAGGCTGATTTGAACATGTCTCACGTTACATAACAAAAACAAGCTCTTAAACAACGCCTGCATGTTTCAGGATTTAAAATCAGCTGATTGGGAACATACAGATCCGCGGGAGTCAACGGGAAACCGACGAACATCCCGGGAGTCTCATCAGACACTTCTGTTAAAATTCAGATCACACACACTCCTGCGAGCTCGGAGAGGAGGAGGGGGGATTAGGAGCAAAAATGAGGGCAAGGATGGGGAGAGGAGGGAGAAGCAGGGAGAGGTCCAGCCTGGACCCATGAGCTCCATGAGAGAAAATGTTGCAGGAATCTGAGACATCCAGCAGGGTTTTATCAAAAAACCTTACAGTGATCTTTAAAACTGCCTCATCTACTAAACTGCTCCTGTGAGACTTTTCTTTCAATTTTACAGAAGGAAGAAAAACATTTAAACAAATTAAAACATGTTAAGATTCTGCTCTTACACTTCTCTGCTGGATGTGAATGTGCTTAAAYAATATTAATTCTCTGTGTGGTATTTAACCCTACGGTCGTTTTTCTATCTGGACAATGAGAAGCTGATGAAGTCAGAGTTTTGCAGGGGGTGTAGCTCAGTGGCAGATGCAGATCAAGAGGTCCTCAGTTCAAATCTGGGCACCCCCTCAGTAACAAGCTAAAATTATTTCTCTTTCTACAGAAGAAACATCTCATTTCTGCCAACAACAGAGATAATATCCTACAGTCAGTTTGCTGTTGTTAACGTGCAGCTCCTACATAAAATGGATACTGAAATCCATTTAGCAACTCGTCTTCTTAGTTTACTTTTAGCTTTTAGCTACTCTTATGCTTATTGTAGCTTTTAGCAAACCTTTGAATTTATCTAGCGCTGCTGCTTTGCAGCAGCATTTCGCCTGCTCCGCGGGCTTGGACCCCTGATAACTGGAACTGCGAAGCAGTTATGACCGGGGTCCAAGCCCGTGTAAACATGTCCACCTTTGCCTGTGTCACCCTGAACACACTGTCCACATGTGCATCACAGAGTTGTAAGACTGCATAGCAGGGGGTGTAGCTCAGTGGCAGAGCATTTGACTGCAGATCAAGAGGTCCTCAGTTTAAATATGGGCACCCCCTCAGTAACAAGCTAAAATTATTTGCTTCTCCTTTTACATAAGAAATTTCTCATATCTGCCATCAACAGAGAAATATCCTACAGAGTCAGAGTTCACTGTTAACATGTAGCTCATTCATGAAATGGATACTGAAACCTTTTTTTAGCAACTTCTCTCTTTGTTTTCTTATGTTACTTTTAGCTTTTAGTCACTATTGAGAAACTATTAGCCTGACTAGCATTCTGTTGGGTTTAGCATTCAGGATGTGTTTTGCAACAATTAGCACCACTTAGCATTTGTTACTTTTAGGTTTTTCTTCTAGGAAATAGTTCAAAAACAATATTTTGATGTGTTGCCATTATGATAAATTTATTGTTAAATTAATTAATTAAATGTAGTCATGTTTTATTGCAGACTAGCTAACAGGGGGCGTAGCTCAGTGGCAGAGCATTTGACTGCAGATCAACAGGTCCTCAGTTCAATTCTGGGCACCCCCTCAGTAACAAGCTAAAATTGTTTCTCTTGCTACAGAAAAAACTTCTCATATCTGCCAACAACAGAGATAATATCCTACAGAGCCATTTTGCTCTTGTTAAAGTATAGCTGCTATATGAAATGGATACTGCAATCCATGTAGCACCTCCTCTCTTCATCTTTTTATATTACTTTTAGCTTTTAGCTACTCTTATGCTTATTGTAGCTTTCAGCAAACCTTTGAATTTATCTATCGCTGCTGCTTTGCAGCTTCATCTCACCTGCTCCGCGGGCTTGGACCCCTAATAACTAGAACTGCGAAGCAGTTATGACCGGGGTCCAAGCCTGTGTAAACATGTCCACCTTTGCCTGTGTCATCCTGAACACACTGTCCACATGTGCATCACAGAGTTGTAAGACTACGTTTTATTGCAGACTAGCTAACAGGGGGTGTAGCTCAGTGGCAGAGCATTTGACTGCAGATCAAGAGGTCCTCAGTTCAAATCTGGGGCCCCCTCAGTTACAAGCTAAAATTATTACTCTTTCTACAGAAGAAACTTCTCATACTGTATCTGCCAACAACAGAGATAATATCCTACAMWGTCAGTTTGCTGTTGTTAARGTYCAGRTCCTACATGAAATGAATACTGGAATCTGTTGAGCAACTCCTGTTGTTTAGTCTTTCTATGCTGCTTCCAGCTTTTAGGGTTTTTTATACCAATCGTAGCTTTTAGCAAACCTTTGCATATATTTAGCTTTTAGCTCCTATTCTGTATCTTTTAACAAGCATTTTGTCATGTTTGGCATTCAGGATGTGTTTTGCAAGTTTTAGCTCAATTTTGTTTTTTGCTTCCAACTAATCTTTTGATCCTTTTTAGCTAGCTTTTTGCTACATTTAGCTGATCTTTTACTATTTTTTAATTTGTAGCATTCAGTTAGCTCCCATTTAATTTTTGAGTGACATTTTAGTACTTTTAGTTAAGAACTTCTTCATTTTCAGTTACATTTTACCAAGTTTGATATTTAATTTTTTTTTTTTTTTATCTTTCAAGACGTGCTTTGCTAATTTTAGCTTCACTTAGCTGATGTTAGATTTTAGCTTTCAGGAAATAAGCATAAAAATGTTTTGATATGTTGTCACGATATGTAGATTAATGTTTCATGTGCAGTGTGGAACCTTGTGCTTCTAAAGGCACTTACAAAACTTCTACCTCCACCTGTCAGTTTTCAAAAGATATTTACAAAAATTAGATTAAAAATACCATTTTATACTATTTCACAAACATGAAACAATAAAGATTTCAGTAATACGTAGAACAAACTGCAGTCTTCACTTTCTTCTCACTTCATTGTGTGGAAACGTATGATAGTTTGAATGAGTGCTCAGGTTTAACAYATTAAAGTTACATAAAAAGACATAAAATACAAACACTAGACCTGAACACGGTGTCCTCTCAGCACCTACAGTTCACAAATCACTATGGCAACAGGATTTTTACTCAGCCTCTCCTCACTTAGTGTCGGAGCATCACTTTGCCTCCGCCGCAGCGTCACACATGTTATCTTCAGAAGACGGGCGCAGACCACACATCCTGGCATTCAAGCTGTCAGTCAGCAAAGTGCTGCTATTCATAGAGGCGATCAATGCCAAGCAGCGGGGAGAGTGACAGAACAAAGCTGGCTGACGCACGGGGATGCTTTCGATAGAAGAGTCTGAGTCTGTTCCAAACAATTAAAGACGAGTCGATATTTAAAACCACGGGTGTTTGTCTGCGAACATCCGCCGAAGGTTCGGTCATTGATTCCTGCCAAACACCGACGAGGGACCGAAAGATGTTGTTGTTTTTTTTACCTGCTTTCTAGATAAGAAATCTGACTCAATAAAAACATGTTTTTATATCTTGTCTGGGATTTTTATGGACGTTATGTTTAGTGGAGACCAGGGCCGGCCTAAGCAGATTTGGTGACCTGGGCAAGATTTCAGGTGGCCCCGCTTAGCGCAGTTTTATAAATCTCACTGCGATTATACCAAATTAAGTAGTTTTGTCTTTATTATTTTTTATTTTTAGAAAATAGGTTGTCTAATGAAAATAATTAACAATAATTAATTTGAAACAGACCTGCTGACATTACGGGGAACACCTGTTCATGTTAACCAGCAGCTGTGGACTGAAGCAGTTCTAGGGGGGTCCGATGGTAAAAGCTCTCTGCATTTTTCCTTTATTTGAAGCATATTTTACTAAATTTGGGGATGGATTGAACATAAAAATCAATACTTAATGACTGAAGAATACTGCAAATCAGACTTTAACCTGAACTTTTTCACAACTATAACTTCCTTTCTCCTTATTTTGTTTTCTATTTATGCACTGTAGTTAGTCTTGACCCATACTTTATGCTTTTATCATGAAAAATCCTCTCCTCGGMTATAAACCCTCAGAAGTTCATTAACCTGAGGAACCAGTGATTATTCTACATTTAATTTACATTACCTGATGTCCACTGCAGTTGGCCGTTGTTCGTTTGCACACAAATTCATACAGCACCTGCCCCGCTCTGGTCCGGTCCACTCCGGTGCGAAGCACAGAGGAGGTCCGAGAAGCAAATGCAGGAAACATCATCCAGTGATAAATGTGGAAGTCGMCGCAAAATAATTAATTCTGTGAATGACGGACTATATTTAATGATATAGCTGGGATTTCTATAAAATTATTCTGCCTTTTGTGAATTATTTTGAAAATACGGATGTTTTGCTCATTCCTTTTCCTGTTGGTGCGATGTGATCTTTGCAGATTGACTCTGGTGGATCACCGTCCGCTCACCGCTGCCCTGCACCACCGTGTGGAGCCATTTTGAATAGTCTCATTGATTATAATGATTGTGTATTTGCTGCGGAGGTCGGACCGGACCAGAGTGGACCGGAACCACATTCAGTTTATTAATTTTTAATTGATTAAATCATTATGGGTGAATCCACTAAACTCTGAGAAAAAGGTGTCAAATATTATTTTGTTCCTCCCTCATTTGTGGCGCCCCCAGACATGCTGTGCCCTCAGTGTTCGCCTACACCGCCTATGGAAACGTTTTCATTACAGTCTCTTTAAATTCTGAGCTTGCAGACAAGTTTTTGACCCATTTTGCCACACAAGAACTGCAAACCTGGGCATCCTCTTCCACATGCCTGATTTAACCTGCCCACTTCAGAACAAAAGGTAGATATTAGAAACCTTCCACTTTTAATGAAATAAATAGTGAGAACTAACAGCTTCAAAGTRGGTCTGTTTAGGCAGCTGGGTTTTTATTTTTATTTTAGAAACAGTGTGTGCAGCATCCCTCTGTCTGTGTGACGTCCTGCCTCCTGGTTTGTAACCATCATTATGTCAGGTTGTGAATGTTTCCCGTCTCGTTTCCTCCTCGTTTCCTCCTCGTTTCCTCCTCGTTTCCTGCTCGTGTCACCGTTTAGAAACAAGAGAGCCCAGAGGAGCAGGAATGTGCAGCTTCTCAGTGAGCAGACGTGATGAGGTGGAAATGTTCGAAGCCTAAAACATCCCCCGGGGGAGACCTTCTGAGAAAGAGACACCGTTTCACTGAGGACGGGGGGCTGAGGGACACAGAGAGCTGTGATTGGTTTTCCTGACATCACTGAACCAGAGTTGAATCAGCAGCTTTAAAGCTTAGTTGGTGCAAAAACTGTCCACCTAACCACGTTTTAAAACCTTATATCAGTCAAAAAGTCTTTTTGATCTTGTTTTGAGACTAAACAAGAACTGATTGTGTAAGAATAATCATCTTGTTTTCAGAATGTGTAAGATTATTTGTCTTGTT